GGTACGATATTAGGGTCCCCTATTTTCGGAAACTCCCATTTCAGATTTACATAGTCTTTGCTCCAGCCTTCGTTGCGCCGTACATAACTGCTTCAGGCTTTCGGATACGTCGGGTTTCCGAATTTGGGGAGGCTCCATTATCTACTTATTAGGGCCTCTAGACGCTCGCACAGTTGGTCGGAGCCTTGGGAGTAATGGGTTTGTTGTGTAATGAACACGGAGAGGTTGCTTGCTGTGGCGTACTAGGAGCTGCGAGCTAGAGTTCTTAATTAAACGTCGACACCGGCGGCTGACACTCTAGATTCCTGAGTGGTACCCTTATGCCCTTTTTCATGTAGGGTCCCTTTATTGAAAACCGGATAGCGAAGGGTGCCCTTATTTTAATGGGGCTACCCAGGAACCTAGCACCTAAACGCTAGACCCTACAGACCGCAACCCTGAACCATTCCCTATTGCAGTACCCTAATACTAGGATCCTCACTATAAGGACATTCAAGATAAGGTACCCAATTCCGAAAAGAGCCCACTGAAAAGCCGCTGGCCCCGATAGCAAAGCAGGTCCCGGCGGAGCAGCCAGAGGAGCTTTTCGACATCCTCGACGAGGCTCTTGGGGTTTACTTTTGGAATGAACATTATAATTACTATTGGTATTATAAGTATTTTTAGTATTCCTACTAGTATCACTGGTATTATTAGCGTAACGATAAGCATGTTGTTATTGATTTGGGAATTGGGCAGTTTCGGCTTTCGAGACATGCGTACCTTCAGCATTGCTTTTGCTAAGCTCGCTGGCGCGCTTCGGATAGGTGAAATTTGTAGATATTTGTAGAATTCTTGTAACTGGTAGGTGTCACCGCAAAGAAGCGTGATCTAAGGCTAAGGGTCGGAATGATTCGGAATACATAGCAATACTATTCCTGAAGCTTCCTCAGTTAAACCATAGTTACGTACTACCACAAACCCCAAGACCCTGTTCAAATCATGGAGGCTCCGAGAGAAGGTCCAGATGTCCTATTCCAGCCAGAATCTCACAGAGCCTGGCAGGAAGGGGTCGGCCAAATCAGCTTCCTCACCTTCCACGAGAGTGTGAAGTCCATGGCCGGCAAAACCTCCGTCTCCCATGGTTTTAGGGTTTCGGGACGTTCGAGTCGAATACCATGAAGAATGATGCAATATAGTACATGACCTGAAGCTTGTGCTCCATGGACTCAGCAGGCGGGTAGCAGAATTGCCTCGACCTTCAGACCATGAAGCCAATGGACAATAGTTGCTGTGGGGTGGGTCTTCAGGCTCTGAGGCTATCATCCCAGGAGCATGAGATGCGCTTCAGTCTGACTGCTGTCTCAGTCGAGCACTCCTTACGAAGATGACTGACGCTCTTATGCTTGTTGCATCGGATTTTGCATGCCTTCGCAGAGTTTTTGCATCATTCGTTCTTGCAGCTGTTGCGAGCATCCTTAATGCCACCATTCATCACGATGAGAATTCTCGACCCCGTCGAGGCCGCATAGACCACAAGAGTCGTCGCCACAAGCCGGGACCCTGAAATAACACAGCAATACCAGTATTAATGAATAACAATACAACCACAGCAACGAAACAACAACATCAACAGTAGTCAACAGCAACAACAGCAGCGGAAGCAGCAGCAGCAGCAGCAGCAGCAGCAGAAGCAGCAGCAGCAGCGGCAGCAGCGGCAGCAGCGGCAGCAGCAGCGGCAACTGCAACTTAAGAAGAGTTGACTATGCAATCATGCAAGGCACGGACCGTGCCACGGCGCGCCTGCCTCGTGCTTCTGAAGGGGCACGGCAATCGTTCAAACAATCGGGCAGCGTCGAACGTAAGAACCCCCGAACAACTTGCTAAATTCAGACTCATGATCTAGAGCACGATTACCAGCTGCAACGGCATGTCCAGCGAAGAAACAGACAAGCCATGCCGACGTCACAACAGCGAATCCATAAGTTTAAGCGACAACAAGCGAAGATCTCTATACGCATTTGCCCGGTTCTGCAGTTCTGCAGCAGCAAGTCCTCCGAGGAAAGTAAGAGGAGTGCCGTCCAACTTTGACATGAAGGCATCTCGGCTAGATCCCACGGGTTTTGCGGGCCAATCAAGGTCTTGCAGGGTTACTGCACGCTATTGAGCAACTGAAGGAGGTCTGCCTCGTGACGATTTTTGCAAAGGGCACAGGCACCACTTCTTTGGGCTTCACTTGACGACCGTTCATGCTCAAGAATGGTCGGACTGCGGAAAGATTACGCGTATGTGGGATTCCCTTTACTGACGCGGCAGCCCGTGCGCATGCGCTGTGCTCCGCATCGCCCCCTGTCCAGAACATGATGGTTTCCGTCTCTGACATACTGCGGAGACAAGCTCGTCTGCAAGCTCATCACGACAGGAAGCTGCGGGTTGGGGTTTGTATATAAAAGTTTCTCACCGACACTTGAAGGGGCACGGCTCCTTTGGCACAGTAGGGCCTGTAGGGCCATAGAAGGTCACTCCTCAGAAACCCAAACTTCTTAAGCTTCACCGATAAAGATGTTTCAAAGCTCCTGGTCCAAAGAGTTCCCAGCCTTAGGTAAACGATCAGGGCTTTTCTGCTTCTTCACCCGCAGGACACAAGACATCCTCTTGGCCATTTTCGGCAACAGCATTAGCGTGGCTCGGCTTCCAAGTGCCGAAGCCTTTTGCAAAGTGTCAAGGCACATTCTTGGCTTCTGCCTGTATGGCGCCGTCGTGTGTGGGCGGGTTTCAGCAATGCGGATGGTTCTCCAGAGTACTCGGGCAGGGTTGAGATGGAGAGGCTTTCGCAGTGAGCGAGGGCAATTCCCTTTCCAAGGAGCAGGACATACGTACATCCGAACAGTCTGCAGCATGAACCCCTGAGAGCACGATACAAAACACTGCGAACGCTGACGACCCATGCGCAGACGCCGGGGGAGTCTTGAAGCTAATCCCGAAACCGCAATCCTGTCGGCTCTCGCTACAGGCAAGCAAGCTCATCTCGAAGAGTCAAACATCTGACCATTCGGAGGCTTCAGTTCCGACCGCCTGGAGTTGTTCGAGTCGTGAGCGTCTAAGGTTAAGGCCCTAAATAATCCTGTATTGCCACAGTCCTTGGTTTTGGCGATGCTTCGATCGGAACTTGGCAGAAAGGTTTGACAAGTGCACAGACTGTTGCAAGCAAGGCACACTACCAGTATTGTCGCTCCTCCGCCTCCTACTCATAGCCTTGCTGCGACTACTAATACCACCACTACTACCACCACGACGACAACTATTACTACTACTACTACTACTACTCCTACTACTCCTACTCCTACTACTACTACTACTACTACTACTCCTACTGCTACTGCTACTGATACTGCTACTGCTACTGATACTGCTACTGCTACTGCTACTGCTACTGCTACTGCTACTGCTACTTTACTTCTGCTCCTGCTACCGCTACTGCTGCTACTCCTGCAGTTCATATCTACCACTGCTGAGTCCCAGAGCAGCTTTAGCCTCCGATCGCTGCCTAAACCCTTAACCCCCGGACCCTAAACCCCAAAACCCCAGACCCTGAACCCTAAATCCCTAAGCCCTACACCCCTATAAACCCTCATTCCTTAAACCCTACACCCCTATAAACCCTCTAACCCTACACCCCTATAAACCCTAAATCCTTAAACCCTGCACCCCTAAACCCTAAATCCTTATATAATTAAACCCTACACCCCTATGAACCCTAAATCCTTAAACCCTACACCCCTAAACCCTCATCCCTAAAGACCCCGCAGGTGGATGGGTTTTCCTTGCCGAGCTTGCCGAAGCGAAGGACCCTGCAGGCTGAGGAGCCTCGGCCAAAATGGCTCACGATGATCATGATAACCAAGCTAAGATGCTTAGGGTTTACCTGGGGTTCTACCCTCCAATTAAGGGCTCATAACCTACTAGCTTGTAGGGTTCGGGGTCACTGGTAGGGTTTAGGGAAGGGGCTTGACGTTTCGAATGCCAGAGAGAGAGAGAGAGAGAGAGAGAGAGAGAGAGAGAGAGAGAGAGAGAGCGAGAGAGAGACACATGCACACAACCAACAAACGGGCGGCTCCCGCGGGGGCTCGCCCTCAGGCCCGGAGAAAGAAAGAGAGAGAGAGAGAGAGAGGGTTTAGGGTTATAGCCATTTTGGCTCAAGCCGTGCCGTTCGAGCCCCGAGCCCAGTGCGGAGAGACGCGAAAGGGGAGCAACCGTAGCGGGGGGAAGTCAGGAGAGAGAGGGAGAAACCGTGCTGTGAGTGTGCCATCGAGTTGACAGTGAAGTGTGTTGCACTACGCGTGTACGTCTTGCACGTTGTGTACCGCGAGATCGGGGGCCTTGTTCCAGTACGGTGGCCACACGCCGCACCTTCGGGACACCGCCAGCCCTCTCCTTTGAGGCAATCGGCGACTCTACGTGGGCGGGGGACAATAACGCAGAGTCGATCTACTACTTGCAGGCTGGGCGAAGGCGAAGTTCACTTACCTGACTGAGTAATGGCAGGAACGACAAGATCGCCAACTTCACCTATGCATGCAGAACCCGGCAGTGCCCAACCTGGCGGGGGAAGGAAAAGGCCCGCACAAGCTGACGACGACGAGGGGGAGAAACCTCTGACCCTCAGCACACTCTTGGCAGCCCTGAAGGACAACCGCGAGGAGATTGTGGCCCAAGTTCGTGAGGATATGGACAGCTTAGCCAGTAGGGTCAACACAGTCGAGCTTACGGTCGAAACCCACGTCGGCAACACTACCAAACTTTTGGAAGCCATGACAGACCGACACTGTGCAATGGAAGAGAGCGTGCGAAAAGTGGACAATCGCCAGGGGGAAATGCTTCAAAGGCTGGAACTCCTCGAAGGCAAATTTGCGAAGGCGACTTTCTCGCTCTCCAGCACTCGCACCTCAGAGACCGATGGAGGCAATCCCCGACCTGCCCTCGTGGTCGGGGGATGGGAAGCTGACCAACACCATGAGGACACCCTCAGGCTCGTGAAACAACACCTTGCAGAGCTCAACGTGAACCTTGATGTTGAGAAGGCATTCGTGCCCGGCCTCCGCCGGGGATTTGCCCTGGTCCCTATCACGAAACTTGAGGGGGAGAGTGACGAAGAACAACGAGCTCGAGTCCAGGAAGTACTTCGAACCGTGAGAGCAGCGAAGATCGTTACGGGACAGCGGCCAGAAGGGGGGAATCGCTATTTCTTCGCAGCACTCAGCCAAAGTCCAGAAAGACGCCGACGAGCGCAAATGGCCGGCAAAGTCAAACGACTCATCATCGAAGAAGGAGGCGACCCCCGGAAGATCGAAGTCGAGTACGGGACCGCAAACCTGTGGTATAACACTGTGAAGATCGCATCGGGGGTGACCTCGGCACCAGAAGGCGCCACCACCGAGAAAGCAGGATGGGTCCATCTCGGCACCTTGGCCCGCCAAGTCGGCATCTCGGAGGAAACCGCTACCTCCCGCTGGGGGGACCTCCGCAAGGCTCTCGCCTGAAAAAGGCGGAAGGAGCGGGCGGCCACTTTGGCCGACAGCCCGCCGTCCCAGTTGCACGTGCTTAGCTGGAATGTCGGGGGACTTACCTCTGCGAAAGTACTGGACGTTCTCCTTGCACTCCGGCGACATCGAATTCAACCTTTTTCAGGATCCCTGATCGTGTTGATCCAAGAGGTCATCTGCGAGACGGGGAAACAACATGCGGCCCTGGATGACCTGCAGATGATCTTCGGCAAACGTTCCGAGGACTGGCGGGGGAACGCCGTTGTGCACACCGCCAACATGCAGCACACCCGGGGAAAGATCTTGCATGGTGCTTTGTCGTGCACGCTTACTTCTTTGGACTTCAGGTTGGGAGCTTTTTCCGTTCATATCCCTCACCATGCCACACTCTCAACTACAGAGCAAATCCTACAAGAACTGCACAATCAAACAACATTCCACGGCAAGGCGATCATCGGCATTGATGCAAACGAAACTTTTGCCTGTGCAAGCCAGAACAAGCAAATCAAAGCAGCAACAGCTCGAGGGGAACTCCTTTTGGACTGGCTCGATGAGGAGTGCTTTTATCTACCATCGCAAGAGCTCCACAAAGCAAGCCACTACCCATACAACACTGAGCTCCTTCCTCGCAGACTCGATTACATTTTTGTTAAGAGATTGCTGTGTGATTCAGGGGATGTGCTTGCCCAGCGTGATGTTGCAACTTCAGACCATGAGCCTGTATTTGTCCCTTTGGCACAGATCCGTCTGGCCGCGAACACGAAGCGCGACCCTGCAACTTGGTCTGCCCGGCAACTGCTTAAAGGGGGACAGGTGGACCGTATCCTCGACAAGGCAACAGATGTCGGGGGAGATCCTGTCACACAATTGCAGAAAGTTGCAGTTGCCATCACGAAGCCAGGAAAGAAAAAGGCGCCATTCACCGAGAGTGCACAATTGCGAGAAGTTCGGCGACAGGCCCTCGCCAACCCCCCGGGGGACAGGCGACGTGATCTCTGGAAATATGCCAGAAAGCTGCACCTGGCAGAGCACAAAAGATGGAAAAGACTGGCGATGCAGAAAGTTGCGGAGCTCGACTGGGGGATGAAGAAAGCACTTTTGGAACAATCCCGGGACCACTCGTGGGAGCTTGGACTCACGGAAGATGAGGCTTGGCGACAAAAACTCCGCGAACACTTCGAAAAGATCTTCAACAAGCAGGACAGCCAAATCGTGAATCGGAGAATACGAGAAATCTTCGACCAGCTCACTCTGGCCTGCAAATTCAAGAAGTGGGAGCCTTTCACCATCGAAGACCTCCAGGCCATCAAGGACAAGTGGCGGAACGGAAAGTCGTGCGGGCCGGACATGGTCTCACACGAAGCACTGAAGGCCATCCTCCCACACCCCGTTTGGGGGGAACGACTCCTGGCCATCTTCAATGATATGCTGTACACGGCACGAATCGTGCCGAGTATCGAGGCCGGAGTCACTATTCTGTTGGCAAAGGTTACCCAGCCCTCCAACTGGGGGGAGACTCGCCCAATAACCTTGAGCTCAGTCATGCTCAAAACATTTGGGCAACTACTTCTTCGCAGAGCCGGGGAATCGATCCAGGCACCGGCGAGGCTCCAATGGTGTCGACGAGGCAGGCAAGGAGTCGAACTCATCATGATCTTGAGGAGGCTCGCCCGTGTCGCCAGAGACTGGGGCATGGAGTTTTATATTGCCAAACTGGACATCCGCAAGGCCTTCGACTCCATATACCAGGAAAGCCTTGCCGAGCACGTCGCCTCCGTTGTCGGGGGGAAAGCAGACCTACCATGGGAAGCCCGAGCGTGGGTGGCGATGGTGCATGCCCAGAAAATCACTGTCGAAGTGGCGGGGGAATCTATCCCCCTCCAACAAAGCAATGGCGTCCGCCAAGGAGCACCCGAAAGCCCCGTGGCCTTCGGGGCAATAGTGGCGGAGGACTTAGACGCAGCAATTCGGACCGCCAAACCGGCCAAACCTGCTGGAGACGAAGCTCCTCCCGAAGATGGGGGAAGCTACATGGACGACAACTACATTTGGTCGGTGAACAAGAGGCACTTCCAGCATATGCTTAGTGCCCTTCACGATCGACTTCCACGACGAGGCCTTTTCCTGCATCCGGAAAAAACGGACATCATCAGCACGTCCGAGAAGCCTACCACCTTTAAAGTAGCGGGGGAAATCGTCGCCACAAAGGGGCCTGAACACGCCTTCTACGTCCTCGGCAGCCCCCTCTCGTTCCAAGGGGGAACTGCGATGTTGTTGGCGGAAGCACAGACCCGAGCAAGGAAGGCCTTCTGGTCACATCGAGAAAGTTTTACATCGGATGCTACTTTCCGGCAGAAACTGCAGATCCACGTCGTACTGGTGAGGCAGAGCGCCCTTTGGGCCTGCCAAACGTGGCCTTGCCATAGCAGTCTGCTGCGCGCGGTGAACGCCATCCAGCTTTCTCAGGTCAGGACCATGCTGGGCTTGAGACGCCAGCCCTGTGAAGAGTGGGCAACATGGAACAAACGCAGCCTCCGACGAAGCCGCCTGGCCCTCTACCATCACGGGGGAACACGTTGGTCAACCTTTGTCCTATCGCAAATCTGGACAGCTGTCGGACATATATGCAGAGGTGACCCAGTAGGGGGGAAAATATTCCAATGGCACAGTCTACAGTGGTGGCAAGAACAGAAGGACAGGGGGATTGATGTGCAACACGCACATCGCTTCAACGCCTACATGGACATTGACCGCCAGTTGAGCGAGACCGTCGGAAAAGGTTGGTTTTCGCTCGCACAGGACCGAGAGGCCTGGGCAGCCCATGAAGCCATCTTCATCGCACGATATGATGTTCCTTGGAGCAGTGGGAAGCAGGGGAGCCTTGCAAACCTCGCACCACCCACTCCGGGGGACACAGACCAAACCTTTCTGCGAAGCATCGCTGACAAGCCAGCGAACAAGAAAGCCCTGCACAAGGGGAAAGCAGCCAAGGCGAAATCTAATCGAAGCAAGCCAGCCCGTAGGTAGGAGTTCGAGAGAGCATACTGTCTTGCAGAGCCGCACCGACGCGAAACAGCATGTCACAAGCACACCCCGCTGAACTCGTGAATGAGCTGCAGTGCATGTGAGAACGAGTTCGATGGAGTGCGGCATGTGCAACTTGCAGTTGAAGGACGACGGTGACAATTCCGATGCTTTTGACCTTGCTCGAACATGACCACACATGTCACTTCGCAACATACCTCTTCTCTATATACATTTTCTGTTGGTGGATGCCAATCGCTGCCAAAGCAAAACTCAGCAACAAAGCAGTGAGACGACAAAGCACACTCTAACAAGCCTGTGAAAGATGCTACGCATCTTCCTAGCAGCACTCCTTTTGTGGGGAGCACCCCACGGGGGGACCAAAGCCTCCCCAGACTCCCCACCGACAGACCGATCACCGGCTCCTCGCAAGGACCAGCCTGACCCAACCCCTGTTGCAGCCGGCGACACGACACAGGGGGACCAGCACCACAACCGGACCACGGCGACCCAAGCAACCCCCCCCGAAGCACCATGGCAAACCCAGCACTGGGCGCCCAATCAACAACCAGCTCAAGTGGCGTGGACGGCAACACATCTTACCCCGACCGGCTACGTTACATCGTGGGGTGGTTGGACAACATACCCTTCCCCCGGCACCGGTCACCACCAGCCACCACCACCGCAGATGCCAAGCTACTTCCCTCCACCAGCCTACCAGATCGGGGGACAGGCATGCCAGCCCCCACACCATGCACCCCCTCAGCAACCCACCAACCAACCCGGGGCCCCGCGTGCTCCACAACAGTGGGGGACAGCTGCCGTCCCACAACAATACCCCCAACAAGCCATCCCTGCACAGCCTGCCACAATCCACCCACAAACACAAGCCACCGCCTCGACCCAACCGGGGGCCCCCACCCAGCAACTCCCAACGTACAATTGGGACTTTGACCCCTGGAATAACCCCCAGGACGACCCACCCGATAGCAGGCTGGCACATTCCGACCAAGCCCAAGGTACAACACCTGCCATGACTACCGACACACAACATTCCCTCCAAGCTCAAAATACAGCACCGGCCACCCCCACCGACACACATCAACAACACTCCCACCAATCTACACTGCCAGATCCACAAGGGGGATCATCCCATCAACAACCACCACCAACAGCCACAACCAAGACGGCAGAGCAGGAAGCAGTGGACGCATCGTGCAGCAAGCCACCACCACCACTGCAACACACACCCCCACGACAGGATCCACCACCACGCAACCGGGGGACACAACCTCCTCCAGCATTCATTCAACCACGACCACCAAGCAACTTCACAACACCTGGGGACGCCACCACTGACGACACTCCAGAGGAGGGACAGACCAGCCCCAGCAATGACACAGACAGCAAGAAGCTCCCTCCTTGGGAAAGACCAGGATGGGGACAAGCAACCGGCAGCGGCAGATCCAGCCGCACATCTGGCGCGGGACATGGATCCCAAAGACTCGGCAACAAGCGGGGGAAACACGTGCTGAAACAGCGCCAATGGGCGGGTGAGCAAGTCACTCGACCTGATCCACAACCACAGGAGGGCCCAGGTTGGGGGATCCTCGCTGAACAAGCACGCGCTGCTTCCCAAAACCACAACATGCCACAACCACGGGGGACAAAGGCGGACACGGCTGCTGATGCCAAATTCCAGGAGGCGATGGACAAGTTCCTAGGGCGAACCCAGGGGAGCGGCGCCACAGTCCCACCCGCCCACCCAGCATCGGGGGAGCCAAAGCCACAACCACCCAAGCCTTCCACTGCCTCCACGGGGGAACAACCCCCTCCAAGACACCAATATACAGAACTCGAGCAATGGCAGTATGACAACGCCCCAGCGGGGGACATCGACATTGAGCCACCACCCAGCATCCCTCATGCACACGGCACCACGGTCAGCTATACACAGTTGACAAACGGCTGCTGGCAAATCACAATCAGTGCCGAACACTACATTGAGACCCCCCTCACCTCCTCGGCAGGCCTGCCGCCACTCCACATGGTCCATGTTGGCCAGACGGGGCCCGTCCTCACCGCACCCCCACTGCCGGTGGGAACAATCGGGCGATTAGCCCCCATGGGGCCACCAGACACATGGCTACTGATGATCACGGCTTTACCCATGCTCGACGAATTCTGGCCTGAGAGCATGTTTGTCGTGGAGGGGGACTCGTTCGTCCTTACCCTCTCGCCCACCGGCTGGCAGATGCGAGTGGACAAACAGGTGGAATCCACGGCCCGTGAATTCCGCAAACGCGAAAAATCAAAGCCGAACCCAGACGGCCCCAAACAACCCCCCACCACCCCCCGGGGGGCTGACCGTGCAAGCAGCTCCACCGATCCAGTCCAGATCCCAAAACACACGGCAGACACAAGCACCCCTGACTCGAAGCATGTCCACTTTGCAGCCGACGTGAAAGACCCACCACCCACAGCGCGGCGGAAACCCCTTCCCCGCACCGCTAACCAGCCCACCGACAGGCAACCAGCGGGCAAAGCCAAACCCCCCCCACCCAAGCCGCCCCGTGAAGAAGCCCCCTTCGTTGACCAACGAGACCTCAGGGGGGCACGCAGTCGACAACAACACGACCCAACACCGGCACAGCCTCCACCACAGCCAGAGGAGGACGACCCAACAGAAGCACAGCCAGAAGACCCCTTCGCCAAAGTACGAGACGGCCGTGACATCGGCGGCAAGAAGAAAGGGCGAAAGACCACAACCACCACCACCACGACCACCAGCGGGACATCCGCTACCACGACCGCCACGATCACAACCAACCCCAACAATGAAAGCAGCAGCTCCACCACAGGAGAAGCACACACGACAAACACCACCACCACCACCACCACGGGGGATGACCTTGATGTGCTGGACATGATGCAACGTGACATCCTCCAGATATTGCAACAGGGGGCCCAAGCTCAAGCAAACCAGCCGGCTCCACCGGAAGCTATCGCACAAACTGTACCTGATAGCGAAGAGCAAGCACAACAACCACTACCACCACCACCTCCACAACTGCACACACCACATACAGTACCCCCGAGCGACACACAGTTGCCAGGCAGCACCACTGAGCGCCTCGAACACTATCTTACACGAATCTACAGATTGGCGCAGCAGTTGCCAGGGGGGACCATGGTGGCCCACATGGCCCAGTGCGCCCTCTCTGACTTGCTCGTGGACAGTCAGACCGAAGCAGAGGTCCTAAGACACTTAGACCTCGAACAGGGGGACATGCCTCCTCCCCAAACAACGGAACCCAAAACCAAAAAAGCACGGGTCGCACCGACCCCCAGCAAAGCAGCAACAGCAATGAATCGCATCAAACAAAAAGCAATGCAGCGACTGGCCTCCGCCAACACCCACCAGTATATCACCTACTACGATATCCAGCATGACATCGATGTTGTTCTGGAGTGGCTGAACGGCCATCTGCATGCCATGGCAACCGCAGCCGATGGCGAACCGCGAAATTGGCGGACCGAGGGGGAACACAATGAGTTTCATGCAAGTTCCCAGAACACCGCGGCCGTGATGAGACACCTGGGGGGAGCTTTGCAAGGCGTGCAAATGGACCCCGGCAATCAGGAGTACTGGTTGCAGCTCACGGACGTCATGGCGTACCTCCTTGCAGTGGAAAGCGGGGGACATGTGGCCCACCCCGCGGATGTGATTGCAGCAAGCCGTGGCGCGCTGCATTCAAACCTTGCCAGAGAACGACGCCAACAACGAGCGCGGGGGATATGTCGTGAACTTGCAGACCTCCAAAGTCAGTTGAGCGAATGGCCGGGGGAGGACCTCAACGGGGTCCACGGGGCATTGCTGGATGCCTTAGAAGCCGTGGAGAACGCACTACAACCTTCTGTACCACAAGGAGGGGGAGTCCCTGCCGTACCCGGACCTCCTGCTCTCGGAGTACAAGACGGGGGACTACCTCATCATGCTGAAGAGGCAGCCACCACTACCACTCACCAGATCGGGGGAGCTAGCTCATCGTCGCAAGGAGCACATGAATGGTGGCTGCAAGAACGACACCACGGGCTGGGGAATGCTCCCCAAGGTGCGAGGTCGCCGACGGAAGATTACGACAGTGACGAAAGCCCAGCAGACCACCGTCGTCGCCGCCTCCATGGAGCTATCTATGGACGTCATGGACCCGTATGAGCGCTGAGTGTGAGCGGGGGATCTTAGAGTGTCTGAAACAAGTCCAGCTCGCCGGGGGAACTTCTTTTTCGATCGCTATACCAGTATTGAATCTTGTTAGAATCTTCTGATCCTGCTGCTAGACCGAGCTGGACAAGTGAGTGCTGCAACTTGGCCAGGTGTGTCCAAACCAGCATGATTGTAGAGGGTCCTGTTAGTCCTTGTGAGCTACTCGTAGGGTAAGTACTACACACCTGCCGTGAACAAACCTCCTTTACTCTTGGTCAAAGGGGGATGTGACGGAGGATGTCTGCCTTCGTTATTAACGGTTTTTCCTACTTGTACCTTGGCACCTCGTCATGTCTGCCCATACCATGTAACCATGTAGCTTCGGCTGTGAGAGATTTTACAGACTGATCGGGGGAACCGGGTAATGTGATATAGGTCATCTCCTGTTGGACATTCTTTATTGCTGTTCTGATGCTTTCCCTTTCAACAACCCCGGCGAACCGATCAGTATCTTTGATCAACGTGCCTTCCTTTGGGAAGGTAACTGAAAGGTATGCTCCGACATCAAGAAATTTGTGAAATGTCTATCTTGTTCTGCTCTTCTACCCTGGCACAGAGACTTGTAGTCGTTGAGCCCAATTCCTTCCAGCTTTCGAAATCCCTTGAGGAGCAGCATGATGTGTGGTTTAATGTTAGGGAACCTCCTTCTATTGTTTACCTCTGTCAATTCCTTGTGTGTACCATTTGCTGCAACTCTTCTTGGGGGATTGTAGCGATACTTTTACTGCGCAGTGCAAGGTCCCAATGGTTTCTCATGGTATCGGTAAGTGTTACTTACTGTTGCTGTTTCTGTTTGGTTGTCAAACGGTGATGTTTACATTACCTTGCCTGCAAGTAGCCAGTCCTTTGAAAACGTCTCAGAGAGGAGCCCCTGTCAAACCTTGACTTGCAGCTTTCAGCGGGGGAATTCGCAACTGAGGGGACCGAATTTCCTACGAGCTGCTATTTCCGAAGCGATTTTATCTTTCCTAAAGCAGCCGGGGGATTCGGTGACCATGCACGTGTCCGTGGAGAGTATACGACCATCTCTGATTCGTTATCGTATACTATATGACTTTAGTCTTGAGATGGGATATGCTCGTTTTTCACGCCCCCGAAACCTGAAAACACTTCGGGTGGGCAAGATGCCCGGGGGCCCTGACCGGTCCCTATGCCCGAGTGAGAGAGAGAGAGAGAGAGAGAGAGGGTTTAGGGAAGCTAAGATGCTTGTGATGATGATGCGGCTTTCTCCTCGGGATTCTTCGGGGCTTCTTAGGCATGTGCAGGATGTTAACATTGTTTGATTGAGCCGTGGTTTCTCGGCGGTCGTATACATACAGTGCTACACACAGGCTATACGCAGGGAATCTGCATCCAATTATGTGTATCTACACATGTACCAATTGCATTCACCTATGTGTCTGTTTATATTTATATGCGTGTATACCCAGAGGCTCCATAGTAGTTCCTTTTTGGGAGTACCATACAGGACCATACCTATAGAGTTCTAAATAAGAGTCCCAAAAAGCGCGCACACACACACACACACCGAGTGCTGGTGCGACGTACAGCAGATCTGTAGTTCCAGCAGGTTTCTGCAACCCGGCAGACGTGTTCCATTAGGGTTTGGGATTTGGGGTTCAGGATTTTGGTTAGGGCTTATAGGCCTGGATGCAAAAAGGGTTTAGGATTTAGGGTTTAGGGTTGCCTGCAGGAGGATGGAAAGCTCAGGGGGGCCCATGACACTGACGAGGCAGAATAGCTTTGAGCTTTGGCAGCTTGTTCTAGCATCCCAGTTACTGCTGTGTCAACGCTTGGGTTTGTCTGGTTTGGGGCCAAAGTTCGAGGTGTAAGATGTCATTAGGTTCCGAGTGCACTGGGTGGTTCCTGTCGCTTTATGATGTAGAATGCAGAATTGTAAGACAACGTTTAGGCAACCAGGCTTCGGCATCATTCAACTGTGCTTCGGCGAGAGGGAATTTCAGGGCTTCATGAGACTTCTGTGTGCCGTCGGGACTGAGGGAGTAGCGCGGTCATGACAAATTTACAATGGTTGCAATCTCGGCTTAAGGGCTGTCGTGTGCTCTCGGCCACTGTTATGTTGAAAAGCCGCAGCAGCAGTGGAGGGCAACGGTAGGACTCGAACATCACAGACCCGAAAAATGACACTCCCACCTTAGAATGGATAAGAAGGTGGGGTGTGCGCGAGCCACCGTTATACCTTACTCTCGGTCAGTCCTTATCGTAGCCGCTGTGCGGCGCATTCTATAATCAAGCCCTGATTCCGATGTAAACGCACAGCCTCGCACAAATCGTTCTGTTCGTCTCGATATTAGAGACAAGCAGGCCTCACTGCAAAGTTTGAGTTGCAGACCCGTCGGCTTTGCCAACCCTGCTGGTTGTTGAAATCTAATCCCGCCGCTTCTCCAACAATGTGTAGCAAAGGGTGCAGCAACAAGAACCACCACCACCGCCGCCACCGCCACCACCACCACCACCACCGCCACCACCACCGCCGCCACCACCACCGCTGCAGGCTAAATACCACGAACATAACCAGCAGCAGCAGCAGCAGCACCGCCACCATCAGCCGCAGCAGCAGCACCACCACCACCAGGACCGCAACTCCATCACAACAGTGCAACATCATGAATAACAGCACGGGCACGAACCAGTAATGGCCCTGACAAGCCCATGTGAGTATGTCTTGCTTGTCCTAGCAAGGCTGAGTTTATGTGTTTCGTTGGTTACGGTTGGCGATCAGATCTCTGCATCACAACAACTATTACGCCTGCTACTACTAATAGTACTACCACCACCACTGCCGCTACGACGACGATACTACTACTACTACTACTACTACTACTACTACTACTACAACTACAACTACAACTACTACTACTACTACTACTACTACTACTACTACTACTAGCACTAGTACTAGTACTAGTACTAGTACTAGTACTAGTACTAGTACTAGTACTAGTACTAGCACTAGCACTAGCACTAGCACTAGTACTAGTACTAGTACTAGTGCTAGTGCTAGTGCTAGTACTAGTACTAGTACTAGTACTACTATGTGGAGAACGGAAACCCAAAGGGGCAGCACGCACCCTCGTTTTCCGTCCAAGCAGAAAGTCCAACGACCGTGACAGGTCGAACGTCCGCCCAGGACGGGCTGCGCGCAATTGCGTCGCGGCAACGAGAAGCTACCAACGACACACTGCCGTGCTCACTTGAGCCAAAAATGTTATGAATACGAATTACAGAAGAGCATGCATAAAAGCATACAGCACAACAGCCAGCCCGCAGACTATGTACAGTTACATTCGCCCCTCAGCCGAGAGCACGATAGAGCCGTAGGATTCCGCGGGCGGCCGGAGGCCGTAAAACTGACCTACAGACCCTGCCCTCCTACAAACCCTTCGCACTCAGCACAAGACCTTCGTTTTTCACGGCCTGTGCTGCACGAGGCTCTGGTTTCCTACTGTACACAGCCTGCGCCGCACTGCGGCCACAGGGCTGGTGAAACGAGCAGCTGAAGCTGCGGCGTTACTCCACGCGCTTCGGGAGCACTACCGTGCCTCCCTAGCCGCTCCCGTCAAAGACCTGTAGAGCGGATACGCCACCCTGTCGTCTCATCGGAAAGCAGCTAGGTGCTGCGACCAAAACTGAAGTTGCCACAGGTGGCTAGAAGGGCGGAGCGCAGTCCGCGACTTCTAGTCCACGGTCACTGCGGCTCCACGTTGGGTTGCGCGGCGGGCTGCTGGACATTTGAGGGTTTTGCCCGCCCGCGGTGGTTCCGCTGAGGTGCTTCGAACTCCTCGAGCTTCAGCGCCTTGGACCACTCGGTGCCAAACGAATCTAGCCACTTTTGGCTAAATTCAGAGGTCAGCACACTGGCGACCGCGATGCCGACCTCCGCGTTGGCCCGTGAACTAGCACTAAAGTTTAGGCTTCCTATCACGGCGCTAACTGTGGAGTCCGGCCTCGTCACGAGCACCGTCTTGGCGTGGTGGATGCCCGCGAGGCCTGCGCCGATGCTCACGTCCGTGCGGTTCTCGGCGGCGTAAGCCGCCTTGACCGAGGTGCCCTTGCCGACACGGACCTGGACGCCAGCCGCCCCTAGCTCCTTGAGGGACTGCAGCTGGAGCTTGGTCCGGCTCGTCTGCGAGTTGTCGGCAAGCACGTGGGCTCGGGCGCCTCGCTCCAGCGAGGACACGAGGGCTCCAACCAAAGGCTTGCTATCGAAGCTGTAGGCTCGCACGTAAACGTGGTCCCCATGCCCAGCGTCCGATAGCATCGTTTGTACCACAGCGTGATACTCCGGAAGGGTCAGAAACTTGACCCCGGCTCGCTCGAAGCCGTCAGGGATCGGGAAGTCTCTGACACGCCGTGCCTGGCTCGACATGGGAGCTGTCGGAGCCGGAGACGCCGCAGAGGTACCCTGGCGGGAAGCCTCCGCTGCAGGCGTCTTCGGAACAGTCTCTGTCGGAGGCGCCGACACTGTGGCCACCTCGTGGCGGCCTCTGAGCTTGGTAAAGCCGTCAAGGCAACCCTCGGACGGGTTCCCGACATTCCGAGCTCTTTCAGAGAGCGATCTCGCTTTCGACACCATGCCGGCAAGGCACCCCTGTTCCAGGGCCGGCGCGCCGAGGATCGCACGGGCGCGTCTAGTCGCGGCCGGGGCGACGGACAGCGTTGGGGCAGCGCTCGCGCCTGTCATGGCCACGAGTTGCCCCGCAGCTTCAACAGCGCGTTCTATGTGACCACAACGTCCCTCGTTGAGGAATGCCTTGCAGTCGCAGCCTGCGCCGTCCGCGCCCGACCCGACCTTCACAAGAACCCTGTGTGCTCCGGCCTTAGTCTTTGATGCAACCTCAAAGACAGCCTCCCGGCCTTCGAGCGACACCAGAACAGCATTCCCAAAGGGGTTACCGTTCATGGCGTGCATTAGCCGGTTAGTGGCGACACGTCCGG